GTGTAGTGATACAATTATAGCTCACTATAGCGCTTCAAACTCCTGGTCTCAAAAGATCTTCTCACCTCAGCCAGAGTAGCTGGAACTACAGGCGTTTACCACCATATCTGGCTGTTTTTTTTTTTTAATTTTTCGTAGAGATGGGGGTCTTGCTTAGTTGCCCAAGGTGGTCTTAAACTCCTGGCCTCAAGATGATCGTCCTACCTTGGCCTCCCAAAGTGCTGGGATTACAGGTATGAGCCACAGTTCTTTTTTTTTTTGAGACAGAGCCTCAAGCTATCCCCCTGGGTAGAGTGCCATGGTTTCACAGCTCACAGCAACCTCCAACTCCTGGGCTCAAGCGAGTCTCCTGCCTCAGCCTCCCAAGTAGCTGGGACCACAGGCACCCGCCACAACGCCCGGCTATTTTTTGGTTGCAGCCATCATTGTTGTTTGGCGGGTCTGGGCTGGATTCGAACCTGCCACCTTAGGTGTATGTGGCTGGTGCCTTAGCCACTTGAGCCACAGGCGCCGAGCCTGAGCCACAGTTCTTAATAGTCAGATATTGAGCAATAGATTTTCTGCTGGAAATTTAAAGGTTAACATCTCTGAAGAGTTGAACAATCATATGGGATTTTTAAATGTCTCTAACGTTAGCCAGGTAGTATACTAAGGAGATAATGAAATATTAAAAGCTTTTTTTTTTTGGCTGAGCACTAATCTTTGTGGTTGTGGATATATCTATAAGCTGAAGAATACTGCACTTTAGATAATAAGTTACTATAAAATTCGTGGCACTATTTAAAACCCGACAGCTCCATATGTCTGATAAGTTTTCTGAAAGTATTTTAAAGATAAAACTTTATTCTCAAATCTGTAATTGGTTCCTTAAAGATTTCCAACACCATACTGTATTTACATAATTGTATCCATTACATGGAGAAAAACTATCATGCTAAGAATATAGGAGTATTTTAATCATAAAATATTGTCAAAGAGAAACAAAATATAGTCAAAGAAATGCTAAACATGCCATGTCAGTGAGAATTCTTGGCATTTCGTTTTAGAAGCCATTTTGGATGGAAATGAATAAAATATAAACACAGCACTTTATCTTAGATATGACAAGAAGCTTCAAGATTGTAATGTGCATTAAGATAACATTCCAAACCTATCCTTTCAAGTTTTCAGCCAAGAATTTGTTTTTATAATTTCTTAGCAGTTGGCAAACAGCTAACCTCTTGAGTTATCCATTTTCATGCTTATGGTCCCAATCCCATTGTGTATAACTCTTAATTTGCTGTATGACCTTGACTAAATCATTCCCCTCCACCCTGACTCAAATGAAGGGGTTGGATCTCTCAGACTCCTTCTAGTTTTAAAGTTCTGTGGTTTAAGTGTATGGATCATGACATACACTGTAAAAATGTACTCGCTAGAGGGATTGAATTTTTAAACCTTGGGCTATTTAAGTGTTTCGTAAACGGTCATTCCTATAACCAGCTGTAAAGGGAATATAAAGTGTGGCAGCCAAGGCCTGTTGGTGATTTACTTGTTTTCGGTGGTGGTTAGCAGCTGTTGTGCTTCTTTGAAGTCACAAAGCACCTCCTGTAGGTCACAGCAATAGCAGTCCATCGTATGCTCCCCAGACTCCCTGACACAAGCGATATGTGAGGGATCCAGGACCAGAAGAGCAGTGACCACAGCCCCCATGGTCCATGAGATGACTTTGAACACCTTCCCGTTTAGCTGCAGGGAGGTGTGGACCCTGTGACTCAATGCCCAGATTCCCCCTCCAGACTTGAAGTGTTTATAGCCCCAGCTGCTGGGAGTATTGGCTGCTGACAATTCTCAGCCAATCCTTCTGGGGCCACCTATATTTGAGGACAGGAGAATGGGTAGAAGGGAGGGTTAAGCTTTGATCTCAAGGGCCACGTCAGTGCCAGACGCCTGCAGGGTTGGATGAGGCTTTGGTTGCGGCCACCTCTGGTGCACTGCGGGTCAGTTTCTCCCTCGTCCCACACATGCTGTCCTGAGCACTCCCCGGTAAACATCCCACACAGACATCTCTGTCTCAGTGTTGGCTTCCTGGGGACACAACCCCTGACACGGATATATACAGACCTGTGCTCCAAATTGGACTCTTCTTATTCTAGCTACGGAACCTGCACTAAATGTCCTCTTCAGTAGAATGGGAATAGCAATAACTACCTCACAGTGCTGTTTATTAGGAGAAAATGAAACCAACCAAAGTACATAGTGAATGATGAGTAACAGTAAGTTAACATGTGTGGGTCACTTATCACGTGTCAGGTGCTATGTTGTGTATTTTACCACCAAAGAAGTAAAGAAGACATGAAAAAGGTAACATCTGTATTTTACAGATGAGAAAACGGAGGCACAGAGAAGTTAAGTAACTTCCCCAATGTACACAGCTAATCAAACTTAAGTCAAGAATTCAAACCCAGACAATCAGACTACAGAAAATCAATGGTCTTAACTAAAACTCTCTGGCCTCTCACTGATGAAGGAAAATTAGAAGATTATTTGGATGATGATAAACAAAAGCCCAATATCACCTGACTCCAGAAGTAGCTTTAACATAAGGCAGTCAGAAAATTTTTATGAATCATTTCTATACTCCTATAGTTTGTATTTTTGTATAGTTATAGGTAATGCTTATTTTTGCTTCAGATCAACCGTTCTTCATCAAGAGAGCGAGTGAAATGGAGGAAGGTTGGAGCCCTAACCTGATATGGTAGTGTTTGGCCACCCCAGAACTTGATTTATTTTTGCTGTTTGTCTCTATTTTAGTGAAACACATATTGAGTCTCATTTTTAATAAAATGTACTAAATAAAAGATTAATAAGTAAAATGATGACATGTTTGACTATTAAAAATTAGGTAGTAATTTTTTTTTTTTTTGAGACAAAGTCTCACTCTGTCACCCTGGGTAGAGTGCCAGACATCATAGCTCACAGCAACCTCCAACTCTTGGGCTCAAGCGATTCCCTTGCCTCAGCCTCCCAAGTAGCTGGGACTATAACTGGCTAGTTCTTCCATTTTTAATAGAGATGGAGTCTCCCTCTTGCTCAGGCTGATCTTGAACTCCTGAGCTCAGGCAATCCACCTGCCTCAAGCTTCCTACAGTTTTAAACTTCTCCCTCCCCTGGGTCTGGTGATAACTGCGGGGGTGGGGGGTTAGGCACTGTGACAAAGGCCCTTGCTGTATCCCACTACTCCTCATTTACAGTTTATTCTTTTGTCCCTTAGCATCTGGTGGAAGGGGAGCTTCCATTAGATCAGTGTTTGATTCCCATTCCTCTTCTAATCCAGTCAGGTTTACACCATAATTTTAGAGAAAAATGTGCTAACAATGCCTGTTTGGGCCCCCGTTAGACGTCCATGGTCAGAGAGATCTCTCTTACTCTTTAAGGCAGGAGTCTGTCAAAGTTTTTATAACTTGCAAACGAACAGGTTTTTCATCTTCTGATTAGACAGCTAGGGTACAAGAGAGTGCCTTCTACAGCAAATAATTTAAGCATTTACATAATTTACAGCTTCAGGTATGTTTGCCAGACTAGCATAACTGAATAAAGTCAACAGATTAAATGTTCCCTTGGCAATCAGCAAGGGTATGAGATATAGCACCTGGGTTGCACCACTGGGTCTCGTCATTAAATCACAGGCAAAAGCTCAGAATCTCAGGGTCCCAGGTGACAGGTAGGAGCTGATTGGAGGGGATGGAGTTTTTGTTTCTTTCTGGGTGTCATAGAGATTCCTTGATCTTAGAGAATGGAAATTTTTCAGAACAATGGAGAGAAAGAGAGAGAAAGAAAAGAGGAGGGGGAGAAGAAGAGAAAGACAGCAGTAGGGGAGAGTCTCTCTTCAATGTGAAAAGACTTTAGGTGTTTATGTGTCATTAAACTGGGAATTCAACAGTACAACAGTGCCTATTTTTTAAATCTCAGAGCAAAAGTCAAAAAGAGAGAATACTTTGTACATGGAACCAATATTTATCAGTTCACGCTCAGAACAAGAACTGGCCAGAAATATTTCCCTCTTTCCAATTTCTAGGTTTTGACTGGTACCTGCTTTTGCCTAGGGAAGGGAAGTAGGGTCTATAAAACAGAAAGCAACAGCAAGAAAGGACAGACGGCAGGTCCAGGAACTTATGCATAATAAGTGCAAAAGTGGGACGGTTTTAAGTGCCAGAAATGGGTCATCAGAACTTTAACAAGTGGAATTTTAAAATCAGAATATGGTTTTAAATTTTCCCATTTAATAACGGGAGGCTCCAGATGATAAATGGAAAGTCAGGGTAGAAAGGCAGGAGATACACATGTTTAGTCAGTGAAAATGTCACTGCACTGCACTCAGCGGACAAACAGGTCCCTCTCTCCACTCCCTCAAGGTCATAAAGGAATCTAAGTGTTATAGGGAAAATACAAAAGGCAGAACTATGCTTATGCCTTTTAACCATTGTTGGCATAGCTTCTCTGAAGATGAATGGGATTAAAAAAAATGGAAATCCCAGGATTGCATTAATGTGCATAGTTATGAGTTAATAAATAATAACGGGGGGGGGGGGGAATCCATTCCTGGTGTACTGTAGACTGACACCTCTAGTAATTACTAGACCTGGTCTTGTGATGTCCTTGTGCGGAGGAGGTGAGAATTAGGGGGAGAGAAGAAAACAGGTGGTGGTGATGCAGGGGTGTCCAACCTGCAGTTTGTGGGCCACATGCTGATTATGTGAAGCCTGTTTTGCTTTTATCTGTTGTGTTGGATATTGCAAAAAGTATGTATGGATTTTTTTTTTTTTTTTTTTGCTCATCAGCTTTCATTAGTGTTTATGTATTTACTGTGCAGCCCAAAGCAACTCTTTTTCTTCCAGCTTGCAGCAGAGAAGAAAAAGGGTTACATACCCCTGGTAAACTATCTGACCTATACAGCATCTGAATTTAAGGTAAAACCATTTAATTGGGTTCATTGCCGAGTTCCCACTAAGCACACTAACCTTTTCATTTTCATTTAGAAAGGGTGGAAGAGAAGCTTCCCATGCTTGGTTTATGAATATGGCCTTGAAAACGTCAACAGACGTATTGTTGTCTTGTTGAGTCTGCAGCCAGGAAGGCAGAAATCAACGGCAGCAGAGCAGGTGTGAATGTCCCCTACTTCAGAGGCAGTTCACTTTGAAGCTGGGAAATCAAGGACACCGGTACCTTCAAGGAAACAAGGATATAATTATCACAGCACCCAATTTGCCAGTGACCTTCCATTCCTCAGGCCTACTCTACTCCCTCCGCTGGCACAAACCCAGGTCCTCACAGACTGAGCTCTGTGTCCCAGACCACTCAGATGGAGAAGCAACCCACTCACGCACCCTTTGAAAGCTTTCTTAATCTCTTTCTACTACACTGCTTTTGTGGACATAAATCCGCCAGCCCACGGGACCTCAGACCCCTCTACCGAGGGAGGCCCGTTCAGAACAAGTGGAGTTTGAGTAGCTAAGCGAAAAATTTATGCTTCCTCTCACCTGTGCCGTCTGTGGCCTCAGTTCCAGTCTGTTTCTGAAGGTCTGAACATGACCTCCCAGCTCCCTGCCAAGTCTGCCATCATCACCTCCATCAAAGAAGCATTTCTCAAGGCCATTGGAAGCTCATAACAGTGACTCTTAACTTCATTATTACAGTTGAAATGTTGAAAGCAGAAGCCTAATAAAATTGAATTCAGAAAAACAAAAAGAGCTATAAATTACCGTTTGGAAGGAGTAGCCAAAGAATCCATCTTTTCAAAATACTTAGAGGTTAGTTTTCAGTTATAGCAATAATCTAGTATTTGGTTTCCTCTCCTTCCCTGTGCAAAAGCCTTGGCTGTGTTCTCCTAGCATATAATCTTTTCTGCTTCTCTGAGTCAAGAGTTATACAACATTCCCTACACATACCCTCAACCTTGGTCCTCAGCGTCCTGTGAATTGTACAAATTCTTTTAGACCACTAAGAATTTATCCTACATTATGACCAATCAATACTCGCTGCAATTTAACATTTTATTTATTTTTAAGTAAGAGTAGAGTTCTGATTCCTTGACCTCATAAAAGACTTCCTATGCTAATCTGATGCATTTAATGGAAAAATACCAGAAGCTTTGTTCCTTGTAAAATCAGGAACAAACTAGGAATGCCCATATCACTGTTATTATTATTAATAGATGGTGTTTTGAAAAGTCTAGACCAGTGGTTCTTAATGGTGGAAACGCTGCTTCCCAGAGGATGCTCAGCAATGTCGGGAGCCAGTTTTTGTTGTGACCCTTGGGATGGGGGTGCCATTGGCATCAGTGGACAGCCCCACCACAAAGAGTTACCCAGCCCCAAATGGCAGTAGTGGAAACCCTAGGAAACCTTGTTCTACACAATGCAAAAAATCATAAACATAAGAGAGATAAAGGGTGTTTTGTTGTTGTTTTTAAGAGATGGAATCTGTCTCTTGCTCAGGCTGGTCTCGAACTCCTGAGCTCATGTGCTCCTCCAGCCTTGGCCTCCCAGAGTGCTAGGATTACAGGTGTGAGCCACTGTGCCTAGCCAAGAGATAAAGTTTTAAAAATAACCAATTTTCTTTTTTTTTTTTTTTTGAGACAG